GATGGAGGAGCTGTCAGAGAGGAGCGGCTCAGAAAGTTGGGAGGGGTGCAGCGTGACGCAGGATCTGCAGGTGTGGATGACGTTCTTAACGTCGTTGGAGATCTGGGGCCAGTACACTGCTTGCCTGGCCCTGCGGAGTGTGCGGGTGTGTCCCTGATGAGAAGCGTGAAGTTGCTCCAGCGTGGTCTGGCGTAACCTTCTTGGAACCACAATACGGTGGCCCAACAACACTATGCCGTCCTCGACCGACAGATCATGCCGAACCTGCCAGTACGGGTGCAGATCGAGGTCCAGAGCAGCCTTGTCCACCGGAAAGCCGTTCTTTACGGCGTTCAGCAGCTTCAGGTATTCCGGGTCCGTCGATCCCTCCGCCCGCACCTTCGTAATGCCAAGGTCTGGGAGGACTGTATGGCCTGTTTCCTCGTCCTCTTGCGACAGCTGACGGAGAACACAGTAGCGGTGCTCGATTTCTTCCTCACCAGCTTCATCCTCAGGGTCTGGTGCACTTACTGGGTGTCTCGACAGGCAATCTGCGACCTTGTGATCGGCACCCGGTCTCTACTGAGCCACGAACCGAAAAGGTGTCAGCTTCTCCCGTAGTCGCACGATTCGTGGAGACGTCAACTCATCCAGCGTCTTAGCATTCAGGATAGGAATGAGCGGCTTGTGATCAATTAGCAACTCGAAATCAGCACCGGCCAGGAACAGTCTAGCCTTGTGGACTGCCCAGACTACCGCCAGTAGTTCAATCTCCGTTGCAGAGTACCTGGCCTCGGTCTTAGTGACGTGCCGTGAAGCACATTGCATTATACGCCACCGCCCGTCCACTTGCTGCTGCCACACTGCCATGTTGAGACCGTTTGACTGCGAGGCGTCTGTCTCGAGAGGAAGCGGCTGTGCAGGGTCGAAGGTAGCCAACACTCGAGGGCTTACCAGCTCCTCTAGTATAGCTGTAAATGCCTGTTGCTGCGGATCCTCCCAGATAAACTCATTCTTTGGAGAGAGCAGAGAACGGATCGGGGATAGAAGCTCCGCTAGTCGCGGCGTGAACGCGTCGAACTGCTGCACGAGTCCATAGAAGGATCGGATATCAGTGCGGTTGGTAGGGGTTGGAAAGTGGTGTAGATCTTTCACCAAGCTACGTTCAGGACTGTAGCCGTCCGGCGTCACCACGAATCCGCAGTACGATGCTCTGGGTGCCGCAAATGCGAATTTGCGGCGATTCAGTGTGATTTGGTTCTCCGAGCAAAGCTTGAGCACATTGCGAACCCTCTGGGTGTGCGCCTCAAGCTCAGTGTCGTACACGATGACATCCTCTACCACTTTCTGAAGATTCGAAAACCCGGCGAACACTTCGTCTGCTCTCCGGTTGTGTTCGTCACCTGCCGACACCAAGCCCATGACGTTCCGCTTGAAACGGTAGGCACCCCATGGCGTCATGAACATTGTGAGCCTGGTGCTATCGTCGTCGAGGGGTACTTGCCAGTAGCCATGGCGAGAATCTAGGGTGGTGAAGTACTGCATCCCCATTGGGATCGACGAGACGACTTCCCGAGGTACTCGGGTTGGGTGTGCCGGCCTCTTGATCCATATATTTAGACCCGTCAGGTCCACCGTGATGCGCGGCTCACTGGAATTCTTCTTAGGGACCACCACCAGTGGGTGGCACCAAGTGTAGGCTTCGCCGACAGGCACCTTCTCAATGACGCCCTTGCCCACCATGTCGGACAGCTGGTTCTGCACAGCGTCCCGCCACCTGAATGGGATGGAGCGAGCGCGATACGGGCGGCATGGCGGCGCGCCGTTGATGAGCTCGATGCGCATCGGCTCACCGCTCATGGGCTTGAGCGGGGTATCACAGAACACTTTTGGAAACTCTTCCAGCAAGGTACGTCGGATTTCCTCAACCGCCGTCGACGCAGTACCTACTGACGTGTCTGCGACTTCGGACGCTTGCTTCCGAGGAATGGAGATGTTTGCCATGCTTTGTGCCCTTAGAAGGGAGTGAGGCCATCTACCCTCGAGAAGCCGCAACTTCATGCACGTGTCCTTGCTGAGCAGAGGTGTCTTCAGCTGCCGGAATACGTGCAGAGTCGACACGGCGGTAGTGTCGCTCAAAGACAACTGAGCCTCGAGCTTGCCCATGGAATCCAAAGCTGAACCGCTAGCTGCCTTGACATCAGCTGTGTCCGGCACTAGATTCATCCTGAGGATTGGGTCGATACCATCCACGTCGGTAAGACTGATGGCGCCCACATCCGCGCCCGTGTCCGGCAGCCACCCAATAGCGCATGACGATCCTCCCTGGATCGCGACGCCAACCGTCACCAGCTTGTTCCTAGAAGGACCAGCCTCGTTGACAAACAGCGAGTCGACAGTCGTCGTTCCTGGTGAGGGCGAGGTTCGCTGTCGACAAACCCTAGCAAAGTGACCCACCTTGAGGCACAAGCGGCATGTCTGGTTATAGGCATTGCATTGGCCCTTGGGGTGAGTCTGCCCACAAAACCTGCACGTGCCTACGTCCGACTTCAGCGTCTTTGCCTGTGCCTGCTGACGCTTGCTGCTCACCGAGGCCATATTCCGTATCGGTAGAGGATTCGTATGCAGAGCATATCTGCATGACCCGATCGAGCGATAACTCACTGGCATACTCTTCTTCGAGCACCCGTCGTTGCATCGCTCAATCCATTACGCCACAAACAAGCCTGTCGCGGAGCCGGGTTTCCCGAAGTTGGGCCTCATGGCCGCACAGTGACCCACAACTGCCGCACTGCAGACTATCTGGGTAGCTGCACGCATCATGCAGCTGAGACAGACCCGAGGAGTACTGGCTGATACTCTCACCTTGTCTCTGGCTCCTGCCATGGAAGGCCTGGCGGTCGAGTAACGGGTTTCTTCATTTTCTCAGGAAAGCTTCCAGCTTCTGGATGGCAACCCGCTCATCATCGCCGTCGGCTATGGGAACTACGCCCGCCTGCCACAGCCGCACCCAACCGTCGTTGAGAGCTGTACGGAGAAATGCCTGCTGCGGAACTGTACCTGCGTTTCTGCATAGCCCAGTCAACGACACCTAGTCGGATCATTTGACTTTCCACTCGAGGAAACCAGCTAGGTCTATCGGGTCTGGACTGGGCAGGTGGGGTATTTCCGCTCTCTGGGCCCACGGCCCTGCCTCTGGCTGTCTTGAGGTGGATGGTGGCGGGCCGCTGCCGGCAGGTGGCTTGACTGTGCCATTGTGAGCCTAAGCAGAATCTGCTGCTGCTGGCTGAGGGATTGGACGATAGACTGCAGCAGGCTTCCTTCTTCTTGAGTCCCTGGCTGCATCCACTCTGTCAACCCGTCGTTGGTTCCTGCTGCTTCCTCAGCCTTGGCCTTGACAGAGGTTCGTGTCTTTTGCTGCGCCATGTTGTGTCCTGCTCAAGGCCGACGAACTCTTCGAAAGATGAGAACGAATCATCAGTACGCAATGGCTTTTAAAGGGAAGCTGGCTGCAAAGGCGACTTGAAAGGTGACATGTAAATGTGTTATGCGCAAGGCGCCAGAGGTACAGCAGTGCCGGGCCTAGGGTGCGAACAGTAGCACTAGCAGCCTGAGTGCCAAGACCCATGCAGGGAAAGGTGCTATAATATCACCACAGTTAAAACACAATGGCTTTTAAAGGGAAGCTGGCTGCAAAGGCGGCTTGAAAGGTGACATGTAAATGTGTTATGCGCCAGGCGCCAGAGGTACAGCAGTGCAGGGCCTAGGGTGTGAACAGTAGCACTAGCAGCCTGAGTGCCAAGACCCATGCAGGGAAAGGTGCTATAATATCACCAAAGTTAAAACACAATGGCTTTTAAAGGGAAGCTGGCTGCAAAGGCGGCTTGAAAGGTGACATGTAAATGTGTTATGCGCCAGGCGCCAGAGGTACAGCAGTGCAGGGCCTAGGGTGTGAACAGTAGCACTAGCAGCCTGAGTGCCAAGACCCATGCAGGGAAAGGTGCTATAATATCACCACAGTTACGTTGGTGGACAGTTTGTCATAACTGGTAACATTTTGTCCTTTTCCTTTCTTCATCATAACTATATTGGCTCACCATCCAAGTTCAAATATGCACAACTGATGAGCAGACATGACCTATTCGGCGAAACGTACGTCGTGTGGAACTACTTGTTATTGTACATAACTAGTCCATCATTCATGATAGTGGAGTTCAATAGGATGTTGGCGTTTCGGTTTGTCACACTTCGTCTTTGCTTAGCTTCCCTTTCTATGTTTATTACATAAACTTGAGCCTCCCAAGTTGGGTGGTCTGTTGCTTTGCGTCGTCGAGTTGTAGTAGGGCCGGTCTGTCCAATAGTTTTACTAGTTTCGTCATCATGCAGTAACTTTCGGCATTCTTTGTTGCCGTGATGCGTAGCTCGTGCTCTTCTTCATTACGCTTTCCTTCCCCTCTTGGACCTTTCCGAACCTGAGCCTTCCAAGTTGGAAGGTTGTTGATTTGCGCCTTGGAGAAGTGTTGGAGCTAGGTGTCAGGACGCCGATTGTCTCAGTACTCCTTGTCAGTGTTGTGCAATTTTGTCGCATTCGCTGACTGTATAAGATCTGGTTACGTTGGTGGACCGTTTGTCATAACTCGTAACATTTTGTCCTTTTCCTTTCTTCATTATAACTATATTGGCTCACCATCCGAGTTCAAAAGAAGAAAAGGAAAAGAGAAAGAACACTCAATCAGGGCTTGAACGAAGAATCATCCGTAGCGCATCACGGAAATAAAGCAAGCATGCTACGTGGGAAAAACATTAAGTGGATTCAACATAGCCTACGTAGTCTCAATTGTTACACATGAACAATATCCGCCAAAGGAGAAGAACGCCGACCGACTGACCGGTATTCTCTCGCCTTTTTGCCCGAAACAAACGACTTTTTTTAGTGCTGTCTAAGAGATTACATTCACAGAATTATTTTCGGTACAACTCTTTTTCTGCCTCCATATGTGTCTCCTCCTCCCTCCAAACAGGCATGTATCTAGGTGAAGGAAATTGCGGACATGTATCGCTGAATATTCCATCTGGGTACAATTTTGAACAGGTCAATCATTCCTCAGCCGTGAGAATTTGTAGGGACGCTAACATGGTGGTTCCTTTTGAACTTTACTATATCTGTACCAGCACCATGATCCAGGAGTTTCGTGGTGTTTATCATTTGAGGAATGCAAATATTCATTCGTGGACAAGTGGTCGACCTTCAATTGGAGAATCTGGTAGTGCTCGGGTCCTTTGTGTAGGTGAGGTGTTCTTTGACCAGACCATTTGGCATTTCTGCACTTAAGGGGGTTCGGGACAGTTAGGCCCAAAAATATAAATTCAAGATCAGCCCAATCTGACATTAGGTTTCCATAGGTACAGCCTTATATTTTCGCTTAGTGAAATCAGTTTTCAATTTCCCGAATAGGTCTTGCCAAAAACACAATTTTCCATGACGACAAAACGAGAGACCTTGGAAGCTCAGGGCCCTCCGCTATGCTTTTTTGCCTTGATGACCTGGACAAAAAAAGGACAAAAAAAGCATAGGGATGTTATAAATTTTTCAATTCTCCTATTTTTATTTCAATGCATAACATGGGATTCGAACCCGCACAATCGCTCTACATTCATTCCCGATACACTTCGCATTCATACTCATTCTTCCAAGTTGCTTCACGTTATGATCTTGCGCTATTTAAGATCGGTGTACAGGCCACCATGATTGACACACCGCCAAACCAATAATTTCTTCACTCAATTTCAATCCATCTTTCAACGCTTATCTATGCCCGACTCCATGCTTCTCGTCTCTGGGGACTTCAACGCTCGTTGCTCGGAATGGTATGGATCGACCACAGATGCGGTTCGTCATCAACTGCTTGGTCTGCTTCAAATGCTCTCCCTATCACAGCTCGTTACCTTTCCCACACATTACTCCCAACACAGTGGTCATGCCAGTGCGTAAGACCTGGTTATAACCAACCACCCACTACTTCTTTCTATCCTCTCAACTGCCGCACCGCTGGGTACCTCAGAGCGCGACATTGTCCTCGCCAGACTCCAATTACAAGGCCAGCGAGACACCCGAAGTGTTGCCATCCCTGCCGAACCAAGTCAGTTCAACTTTTCTTCATTCAATACATCCCTCAGAGCCTGCAAAGAGTGGTCCCTCGTTGGCCAGTGCTTATCGACTATCGATTGGTTCAGCGAGCTCCAGATTCCTCTTGGAACTGAACCATAATATATCATATACCATATACTATATATTGTGACCAGCTGTTATGTACAATCCTTTAGAGCCTTTTTAGCCACAGATACGGGACAGATACGGGATAGCTCCAGGCGTGACACAAACAAACAAACACCAAATGAGAGAGCTTGGAAGCTCAGGGCCCTACGCTATGCTTTTTTGCCTTGATGACCTAGACCAAAAAAAGCATAGGGATGTTATACATTCTTATAAATTTCTCATTTTTTTTAATGACATAACCTGGGATTCGAACCCGCACTATCGCCCTGCATGTATCACCCGATACACTTCGCATACATACCTACTAATTCTTCGGAGCTGCTTCACGTTATGATCTTTCATTTGAAAGCCCTATTTGAATATGCATTGTGGCCAGCCGTCTTTGATGGTCCGGTACGGTACGGGACAGGTACGGGACAGGTACGGTCGAGGTAATACGACACCGTCTACCGCATTGATGACATAGGCAAAAAAATCATAGGGATGTTATAACATTTTCAATTCTCCTTTTTTCCAGGCATAACCTGGGATTCGAGCCCGCACTATCGCCCGACATGCATTCCCTCATACACTTCGCATTAATACTCATTCTTCCAAAATGCTTCACGTTATGATCTTGCGTTTGAAAATGTTTGCGAATTTTGTGAGAGGCTTTACTCTACTCTGTAATATTCAACCAGTTGTGTACTGGACGAGTGAAGGACGCCCCAACTGACAAGACGTTTGCGGAACTCTGCGCGGCTCTCAAAGGACATCTCGCAATGAAACCACTTGTGATTGGAGAACGATATCGATTCTACCACAGGGATCAACGTGCAGAAGAATCGATCGCAGCCCACGTGGCTGAACTGCGCCGTTTGGCAAGGACCTGCGAGTTCAATGCCCATCTTGCAGAAGCTCTGCGAGATTGCTTCGTCTGCGGACTGAGGAGTGCAGGTACACGGAGGTAGCTCCTGGCTACGGACACACTGACTTTCGACAACGCCGTCAAGGACGCGCTGGCTGATGAGCTGGCCACCAGAGACGCTCTGGAAGTCTCCGCGCCGGATATGAATAACGCTAGCGCTAGCGGATGTGTCCACAAACTTCGCACGCCATCGCGAAAGCCTGTGCCTGGTGCACGATCTACGTGTGTTCGCTGTGGTGGCGTGGGACACAAGGCGCCTGACTGTCGCTACAAGGACGAAGGTTGCAATGCGTGTGGTAAGAAAGGCTACTTGTAGCGGATTTGCCGAAGCAAGCCAGCTGAGCAGCCAGGAGCGCGACCAACTCCGCGACCCAGATCATTCAAGCGCAAAGGCTCAGCAATGACAGGCCACAATTATTTTTTTGCGAGCTACAACGACGACTTGTCCTGCATTCGCTATGTGCGTGTCTCCAAGATCCAGTCGAGCGGACAGCCGCCAACACCACTCACGATAACCGCACAGATCGCGGGACAGGAGTTATCTATGGATATACACACGGGCACTGGTCTCTCTGCTTTACCAGCCGCTACATACGGGCACTTGTTCTCCGAACACCCACTTCGCCCAGCCAAACGGGTACTGCAAGCCTACAATGGCGAATCGCTTCGATCGCAAGGCGTGCTTCGCTTGCCTGTAACCATCGACGGTCAGCAAGCGGAGGCTGAGCTGTACGTGGTCGACTGCGAGGCCCCAGCATTGCTAGGACGCACATGACTACAGCAATTTCGCCTCAACTGAACGATGTTGTCGGCTATCAGGAATGTGAAATCCTCATTCCAGGAGTGATAGCGTGAATTTGCAGTGGTATTCAATGATGAACAAGGATTGTTCAAGGGGCGAAAGCCAAGCTCAAGCAGACGTTTGATGTGACTCCAAAGTTTGTAGCTGAAACCCCGGTTGAAGCAGAGATACGTCACATTGAGGCTGCTGGCATCCTCACTCCGGTGGAATGGAGCAAACCTCTGGTACCTGTTCTGAAGCCAAACGACCAGGTCAGGCTATGTGGAGACTTCAAGGTGACGGTGAATCCCCAGCTCCACATCGACCAACACCCGTTGCCGCTCATCGAGGAGATCTTTGCCTCACTCTCCGGAGGGCAAGAGTTTACAAAAACTCGATCTGAAGGCAGCGTACACGCAGATGGAGGTGGACAACGAGTCGAAGCCCCTGCTTACGCTCAACACCCATCTGGGTCTGTTTCGACTCAACCGTCTCCCATACAGGATCGCGTCTGCTCCAGTGCTATGGCAACGAGCCATTGATTCTCTGCTACGAAAACTGCCAGGCATTAAGTGCATGATCGATGACATCATTGTCACTGGCCGCACACCAGAGGAACACCTGAACACGTTGATGAAGGTGCTCCAAAGTCTCGCTGATGCGGGCCTCAAGCTCAACCTGGCCAAATGCCACTTCTTTCAGCCGAAAGTGGAATATTGCGCCACGCCATCAGCGCACAAGGCCTGCAAACGATGCCGGGCAAGGTTGATGCAATTTGTGATGCTCCGGAGAACGTGCCGCAAGTACGCAGTTTTCTGGGGCTCATCACCTACTATAAACGATTCAATCCGAAGATGTCAACTATCCTGAGTCAATTAACAGCGCTGCTGCAAAATGGAGCGACGTTTGAATGGACAGATGAGTGCAGACAAGCCTTCCAAGAGGTCAAGCAGGTGCTGTCATCCCAACAGGTGCTCACACATTATGACCCGACACAGTCCGTTTGTCTCGCAAGTGATGCGTCACCATACAGGGTTGGAGCGGTCTTGTCGCACATCCTGCCATCTGGAGAAGAGCGACCGCTGCCTCTCGAAAGCTCTCGAAAGCGGAACAGACATACTCACAGATCGATCGTGAAGCGCTCGCAATAGTGTGGAGTGTGAAACGCTTCCCCAACTACCTGTACGGCCGGCATTTTGAGCTGCTCACGGACCACCAGCCGTTGGTATCAACCTTCAAACCGAGGAAAGGCCTGCCTGCTATGACCGTAGCACGTCTTCAATGCTAATGCGATGTTCCTTGCCGGACATGACTACACAATCATGTACTGCCAAACAGACAAGCATTGGAACACTGACGGATTGTCACGCCTGCCGGTAGGAAATCCTCCGGCACCAGATACGGCAGAGGAAGCGGTCAACATGTTCTACATAGAGCAATGCGAACCACTCCCAGTAACAGCGGAGCAGATCAAGGAGGCAACAGCCAGCGACCCGCTATTGCGAGAGGTCCATCGCTATGTGCTCCAATGTTGGCCAAAGTCGTGCCCAAGAGCAGAGCTACAGCAGTACTTCCAACGCCGCAACGAGCTTAGAGTTAGCAACGATTGCTTGCTATAGGGCAATAGCGTCATAATTCCGCCGGACCACCGGAAAGCTGTCCTGACAGAGCTTCATGAAGGAATGGTACGAATGAAGGCATTGGCGAGAAGCATCCTCTGGTGGCCGGGCTTGGTTGGCGACATAGCAGACGTAGTCAAAGCATGCCTGGGGTGCCAAAGTGTCCAGAGTGAACCTGCTGCAGCACCAGTGCACCGATGGAGCATGCCAGACCGCGCGTGGCAGCGAGTCCACGTGGATTACCTTGGTCCATTGCGGCAACCGATGTGGCTCGTCATTGTCGATGCCCATTCAAAATGGCCCGAAGTCATTCCGATGCCTTCCACAATGTCTTTGGCTGCCATCGCGAGTCTCAGGACAGTAATCGCCAGATATGGTTGCCCAGACCTCATCGTCAGCGACAATGGTCCACAATTTGCATCTGCAGAGTTTGCCATGGACTTTGCCGCAGACTGACGGTTGCCATCAGTTTCAATCAAGCACTAGGTTGGGGGCGCAAGGGACACTGGGACGCTGAGTGCGAATGAACTGATAGAGAGAAGGACGATTGGTTGGTGAGATTGTTGCAGAGAGGGAGCTGACGTAAGAGCGGTAGGTTTTACAGGATAGGTATTTGACAAAATTTCATCGCACTCGGTAGGCCTCCAGGTTGGCAGGCTGACACTGAAGCGGTCTCGTTTAAGTTTCACCGCAGATACAAGGACAGCCGACTCTCAAGGTGGATTTGATGTCACAACCGTGCGTATGACAGACAAGAATGGGTGGAAACATCAGCAAGGTGGTGCAGGAAGGTTTGTTCCAGGATGATTGAAAATCGATCGACTGCGTCATCAACAGTTGGGGAGTTGCCTGGGCGTAGAAATGACCACTCACAGAAGATCAGAATTAAGAGAGTCTCTGCGGTGGGAGGGCACATGACGGTAGCGGTAAGGGAAAGGTTTGGGTGGTGTCTGCTGCAGATGTCGGCCAGGTAATGGTGAGAGATCGAACTGACATGACACTGTCAGATGATCCGAGGATCCAAGAGCGCAAGTCGTGTTAATATCCGTTGCAAGCTGGGGGTTTTGACGAAGAGAAGGTCTAACGACGACTGGGTCCCTGCAGGCCGGTGCTGTGTTCGTTGAGGTATTCACAAGCCGGTCTAGTCCGAAGCAGGTGACGTGGCGGTAGAGCGCAGCTCCCGCAGGGCATGATGATTCACTTGGGCACCAGTGCTGGTGCTTACAGTTGAAGTCTCCACTCAGTATGACGTGGTACGAGGACATGGGGATAGTGACCAGGGCATCGGTGAGCATGTTACAGAAGTGATTTATCTCTGTGCTTTTGGCAGAGGGTGGACGATAGGCACTACAGACGTTAAAAGGCGTTGGGGAGCTCCACCCACACTGTTTCACAGGTAGGGCGACTAAGGTCGTGGCGAAGTTGGATACAAATGAAACGTGATCACGAACGAGAATAGCGACTCCAGAGAATAGCGACTCCACCATATCCCCTGCACTGGCTGCAGGCAGTACCAGACTTGTTTTCGTTAGGAGGTCGACCACGCCGAAAGGTGGTGTATCCGGATATGCAAATGGGCGACACTTGGAGCTAACCAGGTTTCACTGGGGCAGATGTCGTATCTGTGGATCTCAGCAATAGCCGACAATTCTGCGGATTTTTTTAGAACGGAACGGCAGTTAATGGAGAACAAGTTTAGCTTTTCCTGGCAGTGTGGGTAGTATGGCCGAGCCAGTGGGTTGAGGTGAGAAATGGCCATTCCCTAGCTGTTGTGGCATTGTTTGTGCTCGTGCCAAAGCTGTCACTTTTGCAGCGCCGGAATCGGATGGTATGGGAAAGCATGTCAGGCCAGAATGCCTTTTCCGCTACCTTCTCCTCCTCAGCTGCCTCCACGGTCATGCGTGCATATGCAGTCCATAAGTAGGCTGATGTATAGACTACGAATTGCACTATGCCGACCCCAGGATCAGCGCACCATTTAGCAATAGATGATGTGGAGCAGTGAGGTTGCACGTTCCCAATGTAAAAAACCTTACGCTCTGCCGGGGGGGGGGGGGGGGGCTGCCGTCAACCCAGAAGCATGGTCACCGGCGAGGGTATCTTCTTGGAGTAGTAGAACTACTACATTCGTCACTCAAGATTCCTTTGGCGCTTCATATTGCTGGACGTGTGCAAAATATCTCCGAATTATTCGAGACCCGCTCTTGAATTATACCAGTTTCTTCGACTTCTCTCTTCCTCTTCTCTTAGAAGCTATAGAGAAGATAAGAACGCACTCTAACTGTTTCTGTTCGTCGGAGGATAGTTTACTGTTTTCGTTCGTCGGAGGATAATTTTTTCAGTCGTCGCAATCTGGCTTCTTGCGAATTGTGAAGGGGGAAGGTGTGACGGGAATGGTCTTAGAGACTGCTTCTCCCATTCTCATTTCGTGGTAATTGTTTACACTCCTTCCGCATTTAAGCATGCTCTGTATGGTGATCCCCAAATTGGTTATTATCATTCATGACTGGGCTGTCGAAAGCAGAAAACGACCTAAGGACCTTGATATCAATTAACAAGTTATGACGTTTCAAAGTTGATGCTTTGGAACCCATTGGGCTGGCTGCGGAAGAGCGAAATGCACTTGAACCACTTGACGCGAGCTACTATCAAATTTCCGAGTCGGGCGAGTCAAGCTCCGCTGAGGGTCAAGTACAGCAGGTAGCTTCCGCGGAGGAGCACTCAGACGGCTCATCTGACAGTGATAGCAGCATCTAGTTACAGAAAACGCGTCGACTACGAATAAGCCCTCAGAGGCGATTCCAGTGAGTCTGTACACAGCGAACTTTCCGCTGCTTCCAGCAGCGATGACGGCGCGGGCGCGACCGGGCAGGGATCACCAGATCAAGAGCGTGCCCTAATCGCTGCAGATATTCGAGACCTAAAATCGCAGCTGTAAGTGCAAGAACCACTACGAATCGCTGTCGCCCAAGCTGCTGGAAGAGCTTATGTTCAGCGAGAAGCAGCTGAGAAAGAAAGCGAAAAAGTTTTCATCGTGGGCGTACTGACAACTGCGCTTCGCTCTGAACCTGGTTCCGCCGACACCACTATTTGTGTTCACTGCTGGGATCTGAGTTTTGTCAGTCTGTGGTGCTCGATGTGTTTAGTCTCAGTCCTTACATGCTGAAGTCGCTACTGGGTATTGTGGAAGATGCAAAAGCAGAACCACCCTTGCATAGCTTAGCTGGCAAATCGCCTGTAAATGTGACTCCTGTGGATGTTACCGAGCGTGCTGTGACATTCATTAGGAAGTATGCATCCGTCCATGGGATGCCACAGCCAGCTGCACCACGGGGCAGAGCAGGAGTAGCCCCAATGTACCTGCCAACATCACTGTCAAACCTCCTTGTGTACAAGTGTTATGCAGAGTGTGAGGAAGATGATGGAGTGTCCTATGAAGTTTTCAGAAGAACTTGGGTCAATCAGTGCTCTGATGTGGAGTTTATAAAGCCGCAAACAGATGTATGTCCAATGTGTGAACGTTTGCGTGACTCATGCAAGCATGCCAAAACGGAGGAGGAGATGCAAAACTTTGCCAAGAAGCTCAACATGCATCTCTCCACAGCTACAGATGAGCGCGAGTACTACAACGATATGCTGTCGACCGCTGCTGCTGAGTAAGATGATAATCTTGATGTGCCTGAGCTCACTCACCTTACATTTGACTTTGCACAGCCAGTTGAGCTACCCTATCACTTTCGGCAGATGGGACCTTTGTATTTCAAAGATGTGTTTCGTTGCCAACTCTTTGGAAAATCGGACACAGGTCGCAAAGGACAAACAAACTACATGTTCCACGAGGGTGTGTGCATTGGAGCAGGTGGCAAGCACGCTCATGGGCCCAATGCAGTCGTCAGCATTCTGACGAAATTGCCCAGGAATGAAAGAAGCTTCCACCTGCATGCTGACAGCTGTTTTGGGCAAAACAAGAACAAAACTGTTCTAGCTTACCTCTCTTGGTTTGTCGGCAACAAAATTTTCGATTCTGTTGAGCTTTCTTTCATGAAGGTGGGCCACACTCGTTGTGTTGGTGACGGCAGGTTTGGTCTAATCAACCAAAAATTCCGTACCAGTGTCGTTGACACTGCAGATGACTTGGAAGACGTCGTCAATTTTTCCTGCAGTCCCAACGTTGCGCAGCGGTTCACCTGGTCTTGGAGGGAGTGGGATTCGAATCTCAGTGAGAGCTTCCTACCTCTCTGGGGCATCACTCAATATCAGCATTTCCGATTCTCAGCATCGGATGAGAAGGGAACAGTGTGGGTGCGCGAGGTCTGCGATGGTCCTGAATTTAAGAAAAACTTATTGAAAGCCAATGCTGGCGTTCCAGCTGGTCGCCCTGCCATCCTTGCGCCCGGTGGATCGTGGCAACAGCGCTGCTCCTACCTCAACAAGGAAGTATTGCCCTACCTTACCCAAGGCAAAGAAGCAACCTGGGCTTACAAAACATCGTGTATATGTAACAAACGACGGTGAAAGATTAAAATACTGTTTGCGATAGTAGAATATGGACCCCAAGACATAATACAGTGAAGTTAAGTTAAGCATGATTTATGTGTCGTATGAGTCTTAAATTTTGTACAGAGATTCAATATGTCCATATAAACAAACTCCAGTCAAAAAACAATTTTCCAAAATTTGACCCCTTAGTTCTGTTTTTGCTTTGGATGGCCCGTATTATGAATAGCTAGTAGTCTACGCACGATCCGCCTTTAGGAACACACTTTATTTGCCATACAACTACACATCCTTATTCTACCTCTAACACCGTACTCCGAATACAGCAGAGAGTTGAATACGAGTCCCTACATTTTATTCTGAAAATATGACGCTGACCACGGCGAGGGTTTCCCCTTGGTTCTTGGTTATTCCAGAAGGAGTGAATTTGATTTGTAGTGTCGAGTGGAGCTAGTATGCTTCCTGTTACAACTCAACCATGATAGTGTGTTGACTTATAACCAAGCAATAAGGTCACCTGTGCATGTGTGGTGTGTTTTATGCATTGCAGCATCTAATAATTGCACATCACCACCCGTTGTTAATAATTCAATCGTTACATGGATAAAAAGTCAACCATCAGGGAGTGATATGTTAACATCAGGTCATGTAATGGTCCAATGCAACAAAAATTACGTCTTTGGGAGTTCGCTTCCTTTAGTTTGTGCAGGTCTGTCTGGTCAATGGACTTCCGGAGACCGATTGAGTAGTAAGTCACTCATAGTTATATTTAGGTATGCAACTGGTAGACCAGGTAACGAGGTCGGATATTTTTATCCAGGTAACAGAGGTACAGTATCGGGTATTTTTTGAAAGTTTGCACATTAAGTGTGCAATTGTGCAACATAGATATTCTGAAGACCACACACAGGCAGTGACTTTGCGATGATCTGAAAACGCACGATGCGGAGTTGAATTTATTTGTGTTATTTCAAATAAGTGTTTGTGATAACAGTACCGCATGTGCACATCGAGCAGAACTGAATCTTATTCACAAGCTTACCGACGGTCAGGCTGCCCACATGACTGAACAAATGATCCCTGCAAGCACCACACGGCAGACGTCCGACGCCATGTCCATTGCCGGGACGTCCATCTCCAAAAATAATTCCATCTTCGTCTCAATGCTACACTGCGACTCGTCGTAGAGTCGTACAGTCTACAGAGTCGTCGTAGACTCGTAGTACAGTCTAGTCACGCGATCACTGAAATAAACTATTTTTTTGCGGGCAAATAAACTATTTTTTGCGGGCAATATCGCATATTATTGCCCGCGGCGCGAAAAGGTGCTGATTCGCTGGAGTGCGGGCAACAATCACGTGCCATGTGATAAAGGTGACATATTGTACAGAGAGCAGGTAGCCATGCTTTTTACACTTGTTTTCCTGGATAAGCCTAGTTCACATTCGACGCAACGCTGACAGTACGGGACATAAGGGCTTGTTGGGAGGGCTAGGGGTGAGCTGTAAAATCCTGTACGATTCATACGACATGCAGCAGCTGTTGCGACGTTCAACGTCGAACGGCACGTGTCATGAGGCACGGTCCGTGACGGGTGACTTTCGGACCTAATTTCCCGTTTTTCCGGACTTCTTTTCAATTATTTCTTCTTGCAAGAAGCGGAATCAAGTTCACAATACCAGTTTTTCATGAAGACCAAAAAATTAGCCCTGAAAGTTGTGGTATTCACATAATAGCCCCAGGAAATGATCGAATAGTTCGTCTGTCACGCTTCTGAACTATCCCCAAATACAATAAGTGACATGAGATCTTATGTTGCTAAAATTCAACTCAAGTCGTGCTAGCCATTCTGTGAGTTATCATGGGAAGTGCAGTGTTCGAAATGCTAAAAAATTCCAAGTACGAATCGGGAGTAGTCGGCGCACGACGCCGTCTCCTGTTGACTCTCGAATTGCAGCCGTTTTGTACGCTAGCGTCCCCGTCTACGCCCGTCTACGGTATGAAAAGTTGGATCGATCCAACTCTTCCCGTTGCTTCCCAATCTGTACGGCAGCTCGGTTGCGTTCCCCTTCCTGGTGTTCACATTAGATGCCGTCAGACCGTCCCGTCGCTTGTGATGCGCGTCGCAATGGCTGTCCTTGGACGTCCACGCCCAGCCTTGGCATCTCCTGAAAAATAGACCGTCAGCGCGATCCATGGCGGTGCATCCCTGTTCATACGGAGAATATGGCCGGTTAGCTGCCATCTATTCCTGTCTACGATGTCAGACCAAAATGTTAGACCCCATGGCATCAGTGACTGGCCCCGATGAAGTGCGCATGATCCAGCACCTACTGTTCCACACACAAATATCAGTGAAAGTAGGAAAGGCAACTGCCAATCCGTTTCTCAGCACCATCAGCATTCCAGGGAGATAGCCTGAGCCCTGTTCTTTGTATTTGTTACCTGGAGGCAGCACTGCGCCAAGTGAGAACAAGCCTTCCCAAACGCCCTTTCACCGACCGTCACATATCTGGAGAAACAGGTTTCGCCGATGATGTGACGTTGTACTCAACCAGTGAGCAGTGGCTGAAGCGAAGCCTCCCCATCATTAGCGCAGAGCTCGGGGATTGGTGCCTTACAGTAAATGAGACCAAGACCAAATTATTGCATCTGACATCAACTTCAGACTCCTGGCGGTCCAGCAGGCAGCTAGGATCCCTCATTGGCGATGGTGAGGACTTGGAGCGGAGGAAAGACCTCGCTTCGAGTGCATACTGCAGGATGTATAGCCTCTGGCTGAGGCGTGGGAAGGTCAGTGAGCGGAGGCGCATCCGACTGTATAATGCCCTGGTTCTGTGCATTCTTTTGTATAACTGCGGCGCGTGGGGCTCAAGGCGGCAAAAGCAGAATCACTTAAAGGGGAAGTTAAGGCAAAAAATAAAATTTCACCAGTTGTAGTCTTCGGGGTGCTGATTCGAATGGTCGTGGTCCGAGGAAGCTGAGACGCTCCCTTCCTACTTGAATCCCAATCGAACTCGCGCACTTCCACCGAAACTGGGTGACTGCGCCCTACTAGATGGGGATTTGTATGCAAAATGTCACTAAAAGCGCCATTTCGTTCTTATAAAAGCACGGATGACCGCGATTGACCCATATGTTGTAGTCTTTTGGACACTGCGTCGACTGGTTTTGGTCCGAAAAGGCTGCGATGCAGCGTTCCTCCTTTATTCCCAATCGAACATGGTTGAACAAGCGGTCACGTGCTCCTGCGTACACCAGTCAGCTGGTCACCGTGCCTGCAGGGTACAACTTACTAGCCTGTTTGACCTTTTTTGGGTGCAGCCTGTCACTCGAGTTGAACTCGAGTTGAACCTTGGTGTGAAAGTTGTCGCCTGCTGGCGTGGTGACCAGGTGATTTGGGCACCCAGGAGGGCACCCAGCGTTCCTCCTTTATTCCCAATCAAACATGGTTGAACAAGCGGTCACGTGCTCCTGCGTACACCAGTCAGCTGGTCACCGTGCCTGCAGGGTACAACTTACTAGCCTGTTTGACCTTTTTTGGGTGCAGCCTGTCACTCGAGTTGAACTCGAGTTGAACCTTGGTGTGAAAGTTGTCGCCTGCTGGCGTGGTGACCAGGTGATTTGGGCACCCAGGAGCACGTGACCACTTGTTCAACCATGTTCGATTGGGAATAAAGGAGGAACGCTGCATCGCAGCCTTCTCGGACCAAAACCAGTCGACTCAGCATCCAAAAGACTACAACATATGGGCCAATCGCGGTCATCCGTGCTTTTATAAGAACGAAACGGCGCTTTTAGTGACATTTTGCTTACAAATCCCCATCTAGTAGGGCGCTGTCACCCAGTTTCGGTGGAAGTGCGCGAGTTCGATTGGGATTCAAGTAGGAAGGGAGCGTCTCAGCTTCCTCGGACCAAGACCATTCGACTCAGCACCCCGAAGACTACAACTGGTGAAATTTTAATTTTTGCCTTAACTTCCCCTTTAACGTATTCCACCGGAAGCAGCTCCGACGGCTCATTGGCATAGTTTACCCAGCCAGGATATCAAATACTAAGCTGTATGAGAGGTGCAACACGGAACCACTATCTGACGATGTATTGAATCGTTAGAATTAATCCGTTTGGGTTAGAATCCTGACATAATTTTAAAATAATTCCATTTTATTGAGTTGGCTGAGTTGAAATCTCATCATTCTTTAGTAGCGTTTTAGCGAATTGAACTGGGGGGCATGGTGTGATATTGTATGTACTTCAGAGTACATGGATCAAGTGTACTGAAGTATCACATTATTGATACCATTGGCACGCAGTTAGCTAGCGCTAGTATGTAGTCGGTAGCGCTAAAAAGTATGTAGTCCGTAGCGCTAAAATCTACTAGTAATCTGTACATAAGTCACTTCCTTATGTGTGTTGGTCATTCTATGCGTTGATAAGATTGGTCTTTGAAAAGTACCACAAGAGGAGCCAGAGAGGATTTTTAAACTCACATGAATCTCATAAAGGCTATTCATTTGGTTTGTGCAGGATATTCTGGAGCGGGGATTGATGAATGTGTGCGTAAGTCAATGAGAATTATATGTTTAGTGAACTTGTGGCACTGATGTGGCACTTGACTCATGTAGTGAAAACAATTGGCCAGCAATTAGGGACAACTTGGAAATGTAATTTTTGTACTCCTCCAAGGTGTGATTCTTGGTCAGGGTCAAACACAAGGAGAAACCTTCTGCCGAAAATAACGTTTGATGCTTTGATGTAATCCTTGTAGCTAGTCAATGCTAGTTGCTGTTTCGAGCAGAAACACTGAAATTTACTATTTACCACATGACTGTACTTATGTACTCATGTACTCAGGCATGCAACTTTTCATGCATTTTAGCTATTATGATAGGAATGGATGCTGCCCATGGTGTACGTTACCTGCGCTCGTGGAGCAGCCGAAAAGGACCATTAGTATGTCTTATTTCCGGTTTGAATATGGAGAGACGACCTTTGTGTCTTGAAAAAAGAGTAGAGAGCAACAAAGGTACGTTGGTAGCTGAGTTTTTAGTGATCCTCATACATTTCGCATTCAGTAGAAAATGTTCAGACCAAAGTAAACGTGGCGGTGGCTGTACAGTTTTCTTGAAGATGTTTTAGTTGTATCGTTTTATACAGTCCATTTCAAAAAGATGTTGTATATTTCAAATTTGGCTGCAGCTTTTGGAGAATTTCTTTCGGAATATTGCTCAGGTCCTTCCCCCAACTACTCTAATATAGATATTTAAGCGATCGGATGTGAAACACCCAATTTCGAATTTTTTATCCACAATGTTATTACAGATTTTGTGTGGTATAGATGCTGGCCTAACGGGTTTTTGAAACCACGCGTCTATATTTTTGAAACGCACTGTATGTGAGCATCACGACAGTGAAATGGAGGGGATGATTATCGTTCTCTAGGCTTCATTCGCTCGACTTTGTTTCGCCCTCGTCGAAAAATAATTGCAAAAACGTTCGATTCCCAACAATGTGTTGTTTCCAATGTACATGATTGTACTTCAATATTTCGTTATGACATGGGGTTGCTGACTGTGAACAACACCACAGCAGGAGCAAAACATGAGTTTTTAGCCAAATCAATCTCATAAAATGATTTTTTTAAATAATAACTAGAGTCAATGTTGATTCACCTCCACCATTACACTCCGCTCTTAAGATGACTAGACCCTCCTGCACACTCCTCCTGCATCTGTCATCGGCAGTGCTGGGGCTGAGTCTGTGGTGTCGGTGGCACATGCAAAAATGGATGAGGCAAGCAGTTCTTTATCTCCCAAAGCCAACAGTCCATCGACGAGACTGCCTGTACTACACCAGACATCAGCACTACACCTGACATAACTCATATCCTAAATGCAATCGCAGCAACAGTGGAAGAGGTCGGGAAACTTCTAAGCAGTGTAGACGCTAGCAAGAGCCCAGGCTTTGACCACATCCCGAATCGGCTCCTGAAAGAAACTGCAACGGAAATCACCCCATCTCTCACAATCTGAACTTCAGAACCGGAGAAATACCACAGGATTGGAAAGACGCAGCTATTACACCCATCCCCCAGTCGGGCAACCCCCCTTATCCTACCAACTACCGACCCATCTCCCTGCTGCGTATAAAAAAATACAAGAAAAAATAGCCCACTGTCGTCTGTACATAGCACCGCACTTACCTCCCAACCAATCCGGCTTCAGGAACAAGACGGGATCGAACTGCAACTAGCATGGATCGTCCACCAGATACCCACAGCTACGGATGCTGGAAAGAATGTTGTTGCGTGATTCTTCGACCTGAGCAAATATCGCCATAAGTGATGAGCCGTCACCATATTTACGGTGAAAAGTAGGTCGTGTTATACTTCTTAACAGTGTCGGTTGTTAGTCCATCACAAGTCCCATTCTACATGTAGTATAATACGAAGAGATAGTGCTGTCCTGTCTGTCTTGCTTCATGATTCCGAAAATGCCCCTCTGAATCCTGAATTTTCAAACTCATCTAATTTCAAGTAAATAGTGCTATGCTACAAAGTGATGCATTGCCTCCACCTGCTAGCATATCATTCTGATGCGCCGTCTACCGCTATCCATGCCAGGGAACGAGAATGGACGAGGAAGGACAAGGAACCAGTCCTGTTTTTTTTGCGATGTGCCGTCGACCCAATGGAGGTACACGAGTGGTGAACCAAGGGAGCTTGATCTCTGGCATAACGCAAGGAGCTGCATGAATGAATTCCTACCAGCACTTGTAATTTGATAGAGTAACGCTATGTTGGACTGTCTTGGTAAGATGCAACATTTCCACACCCAGCAAATGACCCAAACATCATTGAACATCATCGAAGAATGTGAAAAATTGTGTGGCACAATTTATTCACATCACTTTGGCATAAAAAAGAAGCTTTCAAAACATATGCCTAAGTCTCCTCTTTGCTTGGCTCGGCTCATTACTTTCGAACTCTTGTATTGATTAGCACTTTGACAACCATGGCACATTGACACACACTTCCTGCTGAATGAATAAGTTTTAAAATCATCTTGATAAAGATGAACACACCAAGCGATCACGACTTGCAAGGCTTTATCATGTGTAATTCTGGTTGATTAATTAAGACTGGTGAAGACTAAAAAGGATAATTAAAAACAAAGACAGTTCGAAAAGACGTCTCACACTTACCTCCCAAGGGCCATAGGCCCAAAGGCTAATGCCAGCAGCAAAAGTGTAATAATCAATTTTACTGAATGGTACACCGAGCAAGACCATGGCTGCTGGAGACATGCACCATGGCTTTAATCCTTATTATGACATCTGGCAGTGCCAGTATTTCTCATCATAGGCCCAAGAAAAAAATTAGCAATCTAAGGCCATGTAAAATATATTGATTGTTTATCGTCAGCTTTTCCCGAGAAATCGGGCGGACGGGAGGGTTTTTATTTTATTTTTTACTAGCAGCACCCGGCCAGCGTTGCCTGGCCGAATGTGGCATGCGGGTGAAGCAAGTACATGAACAGCACACGTGCTCAGCACATGGTGATGGCTGTACGATTCGCACGCTTCGCGTGCTCAGTGCTTCTGTGGCTGCTTCCGCTAGCTACACGATTCGCACGCTTCGCGTGCTCAGTGCTTCTGCGGCCGCTAGCTACACTGTTCGCACGCTTCGCGTGCTCAGGGCTGCGCTGCTCGGCAGCGCTTCTGCGTAACACACAGACAAACAAACGTCACAGGTTCCTCTTCTTTATAGTATATATTATGCATGTACCCAGTACATGTATGGCTGTAGGGTACCGGGTAGGTGTTCGCAACCGCAGACATGACTTTTTCTTCGTTTTTGTTGATGTATTTTTTTGAAGCCATTTTGGCGCAGAGTGAGATAAATCCATGGGATGCAGATGAATCGTCAGCCATGAATGACATCTTGCGAGACAATTTTGAGGATTCTAATAAGGAAAGGTGCAACAACCAATGTAGAAAAATGAAGAAATCAGGCAGCTGATAATCAGTTTCACTTTTCGAGCTCATACTAGCCGGGGCCATAGCGACTAAGTTATGGTTCAGTCTGTGGACTTGACCTTCGAAAACCTAGGCCATGCTGATTAGAGGCCGTAGAAGGCAGGACATACAGTGCAGTTACCAGTACTAAAAAATAAAATTATTTGGCCGGGAGGGTCAAAATTCGGGGCGGGCGCGGACGATAAACAATCAATTTTTTTACTTGGCTTAACAGGGCACGAGCATGACGAAATCTGGGTGTTCGCATTGCGCAGTGCGAGCGGGTAACCATAGCAACACCATAAGTCCATAAAGGTAGCTTTTGTGTGTTGGTCTTGATCAGATGACGTGTTCATGTCATTAGTAGCCAACCTCTATTATTAATTTAAAAATCTATAGCTGCAACTTTGCCTAGCTATCACATTGACTTTATGACGGCAAAATGCCGAACCGTTGTGGAATTCGATATGGAAATGGAGTTCAGTGTTTTTCAGAGTAATGGGAAAGAGCTTGTTAGGTCAAAATTAATGCCTTACTTCTATGCGAAACTGCAAAACGCCTCACCTTTACAAATGCACAGGCTTAGAAAATGGAGAATCAGTTTTCAGCTGAACCTTGTTCCAGTCCTGGTGGTAATTTTCCAATCTACAACATTTTTTCTTATCGTGTCTCTTTCCACACCCTCCACTAATGAAACACAACAACAAAATTCCAATATTGGCCGCCAGGCAAACCGGCTAGTGATTAGATTCATTGTCGCAGCAAGTTCAGCCATTAATCGGAATGCAATGTCTAAGGGAGACTCTCTATTTCATGTGACTCTGCTCCTCGTTTTATTTCAGCTACATGTGTGCTGCCAACCATCAATAACTCTGTGAGTGTAGTTGCTAAATATGTTCCACAAAATGGTTTAATGGCGCATGCATTTGATGTTACCTGTCGGGTGGGATACAACGCAGTACCATCCACAGCTTCGAGTAAATGTACTCGACCTGGAGGAGAATTCATAATCGTCCCTGAATGTGAAAGTAAGTGACTTTCACCTGAACGAGCTGTTTGGACTCATTTGTACCACTACTTCTCTCACAGGCTTGACATTAAATTATGAGTGGCCCTCAGTTGAGGGGTGGCAGGGTCATTGTTGATGTAACTAGAGGTTTGAAAAGTCGACTTGGGTGGTGATGAAAAAAGTTGAAGATGAATGCAAGCTTGGCCCACTGAATGGCTCGAGAAGGGGGCATTTGGTACCAGAGTCCTTTGCCGTGCAGTTTTAGCAGGTGTTACCTCTCGTCTCCGGCTTTAACATGTACACATTTCATGTCAGCGAGTCGAGGGATCGTGAGGCGCGTCCCCATCAGCGTGTGCAGGACCTCTCCGCGCAGCTCCTAGGCCTCCGTGAGGAATTTTTCTCCCTGCAGAAATCCGCCATTGTTCCCGACAAGGCCCCTGCACGATCTCAGCACCAAGCCCAAGGCGACAAATCTTGTACCCGTACGAAACCTCCCCAGCTTGACCGCACAGCAAACCAGCTTGACCCAGCCGATGCAGATGATGGACAACAGTCAGGGCAGGCCGACGTGACCTCTGGCTCTGCACAGCACGAAACCCGTACCCGTACGGATGACCCCGGCTTGGTCGATCCTGAGCCTGTGCAATCAAACTGCGAGAAGAGCCAACCTATCCTGGCCGTCATCAAGGATGACAGTTGGAAATTAGTTGCCGCGGGCCCGCCAAGAAAGAAGCGATCGGTGTTCTTTGTGGGCAACTTGAGCCCCGACTGTACGGTGGACAGCCTCACTGAGTTTGTACACCGGAGGTCGGAAAGCGTGGGGACGCCTGTCAAAGCCCACCAATGCAGCCTACACACAGCCGGAAACGGGCAAGTGTCCGCCAGGATATCAGTTGATGCCACCTGCAAGCTGACAGTGATGTCAGCCAATTTCTGGCCAAGGCCGCTCTACTGCAGGCCGTGGAGATTCCACACCTCCACAAATGCAAATGCGGCCAAAAGCATCAGCAGCAGCAAGAGCAGCAGCCACAACAAGCACAACAACAGCAGCAGCAGCAACAACAACGCCAACAACAACACCAGCAGCAGCACCAGCACCAGCAGTCGCCGCAGCAGCACCAGCAGTCGCCGCAGCAGCACCAGCAGCACCAGCAGTCGCCGCAGCAGCACCAGTGGTCACCGCAGCAGCACCAGCAGTCGCCGCAGCAGCAGTAGCGACAGTAGCACCAACCAGCTGGAAGCACAGCAGCATGATCAAGAGCAACAGCAACTTGGGGTTGGCGCCACAATTAACGACTTCCTGAGCACGAGTCGTGGCCTGTCCGCTGCCGCTGCCGGCACACCTGTAACCCCCTTCACAGCCACAAACCTTCCTCTGCAGAACGGTCACCAGATTCGCTGCCGCAGGGTAGCAAAGCGAGCTGACCAGCATGGTGCGCAGCCACCCCTGCAGGATACACAGACCCACGAACCCACCACCCAATGTAGACCATGCACCAACCCAAACAACGCCAATGGTCACAATGAAAACTAAGGTCCCCTCACTCCGTCTTCTGCTCACGAATGCATTCAGCATCTACAACAAAATGGATGAGCTTCAGCATAGTCTGAAAAGCCTGAATGTAGACATCGCTGTCGTCAACGAGACCAAACTATCGCCCGACAAGGCTACAGTTGCGGAAGTCTCAATCCCTGGCTATTACTCCCCAATACGTTGAGACCGGACAGCGCAAGACGGCGGAGTCGCCATATGGCTGGAAGAAGGGATGGCGTACAAACAACTGGACATCAACTCTGAGTGTGAAACTCTTTGGATTAGTGTTGCTGCACCGTCAGGCATGAAATTGGGCATCTGTGCTGCCTACAGACCTGGGACAAGTGCAGACAACGACGGCAGTATCTTCACCCAGCTGGAATCTGACATCGACAAAGCCCGGCAGTCCTGCTCACACACTATTGTGGCAGGGGACTTCAATGCCCACAACTGGGAATGGCTTGGAAGTCCACTCACCTCGGCTGCTGGAGAAGCTGCAGAAGACATGTGCTGTGTGCATGGTCTCCGACAACACGTCACCTCAGCCACTCGTGGAGAAAACATCCTTGACCTCGTCATGTCAGATGTGCCTGGAACTGTGTCTACCACCACCCAACCACCTCTTGGCAGATCAGACCATGCTGTTGTCATAGCCGACTTCCAGCTTACTGCATCTGTAGAACAACCCACCACTCGTACAGTATGGCGATACCAGTGGGCTGACTGGCCCCGCCTCTCTGCCTTCCTCCGGACTACTGACTGGGACACAATAATCGGCGACGACCCTAACATATCATGTGAGCTTCTGACCATGCGAACCATTGAGGGAATGCAACGCTTTATACCATCCAAGGTCTTCAAGACCAGACCGCAGGACCCAATCTGGTGGACACCAGAATGCTCTGCAGCAGTTGACAGAAAGCGCAATGCCTGGCGAAAATTCCGCGATGACCCCAGAAATGGAGCGCTCCAGTGTACATACAAGGTAGCATGCCTTGACTCAACAAGATGTCTAGCAAGAGCCAAAGCCAGACATCTCGACCATGTCAAGCAACGGCTCCGGACGGGCAGCCTGCAGGACAGAGAGTGGTGGAGCGTGATTAAACGAGTTGGAGGGCATGGCCGGGACAGCTCCATCCCAGTCCTGGCTGACCCCGATGGCATGGAATGCACCAAAAGCCACGACAAGGCTAATGTCATCGGGAAGTACTTTGCCCAGAAGTGCAGCCTAGACGATGACTTTGCAGAACAGTCGGGGCCGTTCCCGCATGTCCGCCAGCGCACCGCAAATACGCTTGCAAAAGTCCACTTCCGCCAAGCCACCGTACGCCGGACACTCCGAGCCCTGAATCCAAGTAAAGTCACAGGGCCTGATGCAGTACCCGCTAGAGTGCTCAGAAAATGTGCCGACTCTCTGGTCCTGCCCCTATCCAAGCTGTTTACCCTGTGCTTTTGCAGTGGTCATCAACCTGCCATGTGGAAAGTTGCCAACATCGTACCGGTACACAAGAAAGGCCCCAAGTCGAACCCCAGAAACTACCGACCGATATCACTACTGCCCATAATGTCGAAGTGAATGGAGTCCATCGTGAACCGCATGCAGCCTGTCCAACTTTCTGAAGAAGTATGACATCCTTTCTCACAGGCAGTTTGGCTTGCGCACTGTACTGGGAACCTCTGATCTGCTGATTGCTCTTCAGCATGAGTGGAGCCTTGCAGCTGCCAGTGGAGGCCTCGTCAGGGTACTCGCAGTAGATATTGCCGGGGCCTTCGACAAGGTCCCGCACAACGGCGTCCTCCACAAGGCTGAGCGATGCGGCATAAGTGGACCCCTCCTTGCCTGGCTCCGGAGTTACCTGACAGACCGCCACATCCGTGTCGTCATAGGTGGCCAGTCTTCACCGACCCACCGAATCCAATCTGGCGTGCCGCAGGGCAGCATTCTCGGCCCCACCCTCTTCCTTCTGTACGTCAATGACGCAGAAGACCACCTGCCTGATGGCGCGAAGCTGGCTGTATACGCCGACGACACAACTCTCTACAAGTGCATCACCACCCGACTCAGACTGCCAGAAGAGACCGCAATCCTCCAGCAGGCAGTAGACTCACTGGCAGCATGGGGAAGCAGGTGAAGGATCAAGTTCGAGCCCATAAAGTCGCAGGCATTGGCCATCAGCCACCACCGCTCGCCAACCCCCCCCCCCCCCCCCCCACGAACGCAATACGCTTCCAAGGAGCAGCCGTGCCAGAAGTAGAGGAGCTCAAGCTTCTTGGCGTCACCTTCGACAGGCAGCTGGCATTCCGCAGCCATATTGTTGTGTATGCAAGTTAGTCATTATATATCTACTACACCGTTTGCTACTGACTGCGCATGCTCGCATATGGTTGTTGTTGTTACTTTACCTGACCAAGAGGAATGTCTTACAAATGCTACTGTTTGTGTGTGTCAGTGAGAATGCATGAGTGTAATGGAATGTTAGTCCGCAAGGGGACATAACAATTTGGCGACGAAGATAAAAGACGAAGATGTCGCGATCGAAGCTTGAAATATTTGAAAAAGGTGATTTTCGTGAGTATGTAGAGAGACTCACGTTTTATTTTATCGCCAACAGTATTGGACAAGTCGCAGCTGGGGCAACCGCGGACCAGGAGAGAGCGGCGGACACGCAAAAGGCAGCTGTCCTGATCAGTCAACTCTCTGCTGAGAACTACTCGATTCTGAAGAGTCTTTGCCTGCCGGACAAACCAGCGCAGAAAACGTTTGAGGAACTCGGAGAATTGCTTTCAGAGCACTTCAAGCCTAATGTCAGTGTGTTGGCGGCGACTCATAGATTCCAGAGGATTTGTCAAAAGGATGGAGAGTCAGCAACACAGTATGCAGCTAGACTAAAGCAAGCAGCCATGGACTGTAAGTTTCAGGCGTATTTGGACAGGGCACTCCGAGACCAGTTTGTCAGTGGGTTGAAGTCGATGAGTGTTACGAAGGAGATATTGTCGAAAGCAAAGGAGACCTCAAGTTTGGCGGACATTGTGACGATGGCATCAGCCTATGAAACTGCATCGAGAGAGTCGGAACAATTGACGGCGCAGTCCGTCCACGCCGTTCGTTCGCGCCAGTCGACGAGCAAGCCAACTCCAACTTTCAAGTCGCACGACAAGAAATGTTTTCGGTGTGACAAGGCTGGTCACAAACCGGAAGAGTGCCGCTTCAAGAGTGTGAAGTGTCACGCGTGTGGTACGGTGGGTCACATCGAGAGAGCTTGCCGCAAGAAGAAGTCTGGACAAACCGTCCATCACATCGCGGAAGAAATTGGTGAGTTCGTTCCATGTGCTAGTAAACCCGATGTCACCATGTATAGTGTAAATGCAATGGGGCGACTACCGTACACTGTATCATTAGATGTAATGGGTACCACTATCCAAATGGAGATTGATACAGGAAGTGCTGTCACGATTCTCAGCAGCGCAGATTTCTTGCAATGCAA